TCTTTCTCTGACTGACTTATTTCACTTAGAACCATGCTCTCCAGGCCCCTCCATGCTGTCTGAAAGGGTAAGAGATTCTTCTTTATACCACTGCATAGCATTCCATGGTATAAATGTACCACAGCTTTTTTACCCACTCATCTACTGATGGGCACTTGGGCTGTTTTTAAATCTTAACTATTGTAAATTGTCCTGCTATCAACATAGCGGTGCATACATTCTTTCTGATTGTTGTTTCAGGTTTCTTAGGATATATTCTTAGAAGTGTGATCACAGGGTCAAATGGCAGTTCCATATTTAATTTTTTGCGGAAACTCCCTATGTTTTCCACAATGTCTGCACCAGTCTGCATTCCCACCAGCAGTGTACTAGGGTTCCCTTTTTTCCATATCCTCACCAGCACTTGTCCTTTGTTGATGATAGTCATGCTGACAGTTGTGAGGTGGTATCTAACTGTTGATGATCAGTGTCTTTGAGCATTTTGTCACATGTCTCTTGGCCATGTTATCCACACTGCAGCCCAGACAGAGCTGACACTTCTAATGGCCCCAGAAGCAGATGCTCTTAAATAGTGATGTCTGTTTTGAGACATTAACTTCGTTCAGTGGAGGCAGGTTAGATGAGTTAGACACTTGAGCAACCTCTGCAAGCTACATTTAGCCTGAAGGAGACAGATGCCTAATGGCTTGGAAAAAGACACAATGCCTGCCATTCAGAAAAGAGCTGGTCCTGAAGAAAGATATGCAAAACCAGCAGCTAAAGGAAGCCACGCGGGTGCCCCAGAAAAAACTTGCCCTTGAAATCACCTCCCCTGAAGGTCCTGAGGGTCCTGAGTATACTTGGTGTTTTCTTGGGCTATTTGCCCTCAAAACCAGTCCTGGAATCAGCTAAGGAAATATAGGATCCTGGCCGTGGAGCCTGGGAACTACATTACCCAGAAGGCCGCGCGTGGAATGCCACCAGGCTGAGCCAATGGAAGCTCAGAAAGGGCGTATCTGTTTTTCACGTTCTGGTGTGCGGGACCAGTAGTCTTTTCTCCATTTTGTCTAAGCGGTCGGCAGTTCCTGGTCGCTCAGTCCCGTGGAGAAGGCTGGAGAGTGGTGCTCCCTGCCTCGCAGCCAATGGTTTGAGCCTCCAGTGGTGCTCACAGCGCACACGTGGGATTGAAGCTCGGAGTCGCCACCAGACCCGCCCAGGGCCGGGACAGGGACCGCCATTCCTGCAGCGGCTTCTGCTCCCGCCCCGCTCCGACTACCGAGTGCAATGGAGGCGCCGGTCCTGAGGAGCTGGGCTGAGGTGAGTTTGTGTCCCCCGGGCGCTCACTGCCTCTTACACCGAAAAGCACAGCCCGGGTGCAGG